TTGACCCCTTTAAAAGCCCATTTTAATCAGTGAAGGAACCTAATACCTCAGACAGGTTCATCTTATTACCGGGCAAATGAATCCCGCTCAGTTCAGACATGGCTTTAGGAGGCCTGAGGGTGGATTCCTCATGGAGCGCTGTGACTGTAATGAAAGCACACAGAGGCCCGCTCTACCATCCCTGCTTTTGTAATACAGCCATGAATACAAATGGCCCCGCTAACGACGCTCATTTCCCCTCCCGTCATTTGGTGCTCCGTCACTCTTTGACCTTCGCTGCGTGGAGATGAACCCCGGAGTGCGATTGCAGCCAGACGCGATCCAGAGCTTTGGCGGGAGCTGACCGGGGCCACCGCCCAGGATCTGAGCCGCTGCCAGCTCGCTCTGGAGCTGCTGGGCCCGGAGCCACAGCCACAACCACAGGGAGTCTTAGATCCAGGCCAGGGGACCACAGCATGAGGCTGGGCGACAGGCAGTCACTGTACACAGGATGGAGAGTTTCTCAGGGTCCTTTGGATGGTCTATGCGTACGGCCCCAGATAGAAATGAAATCACCGTAAAACCTGACTTTCAAATAGTAAAGTACAACGTAAACATAATGGCGTTGCTTTAACTGAGTACATTGATAAAGTTTTCATCAGAGGGCTTTCTCCAAAACTCACTCTGTCCACCTTTTGATCAAACTCTACTCAAACATTTTAATTTGTTCCCAACTGTCAGCCAAGTGGATCTCAATCCACCTATTAAAATAAACAAAAAATGTGGATTTTCGCAAAAAATCAAGCGAACAGAGTTTTTTTTGGAAGCCCTCTAGTCTTTTCTTCTTGATGTTTATCATTTAACAAAAGCATACAACGTTTACATTAGCAGAGGGCCAAAGCATGAATTAAAGCAAAGCCCAAAGGTAGTGTCTTTGTTTAATATTTGACAGGACTTAACTTTTTCTGTTAAGTGCTCTGCTACACTGCTGCCTAAAGGCAATCCTTTTCATATGTCAATGATCAATTTAATTGCTTTGGATTTGCAGTAGTTATTCTATTATTATATTGCACAAGGCAAAATTTTTATATAATAATACTGCGGCTTTGTTGGCCTGAAAGACAAAGTAAAGTTGCTTCAGAAAGAACTTCAGTCTCTGCGGAGTAAAGTACTTTGCCATTCGTGGGAAATATGCTTATTTGCTTTCTTTCCGAGAGTTAGGTGAAAGGACTGATTCCCCTCTCATGTCTAGATTAGCTTCGCTTAGTGCTGGAAGCTAAGCTACATTTTTAACACGATGTATCTCGTTCCTTTAATCTGCACAGAAAAAGAAATTAGCATTTAGTTGTGTGGTGTTTCTATTTCTTCCCAGTTTATCTATCTGCAGCACAATGCTGTAGTCACGCATTGTTGGCAGAAGAACAAGGAAGTACAGGGAAATTGTTATTATTCTGACTTGGGGGTTGCACCAATTATTCCGAGATGGATCCTCCCTCTTGCTAACCTTGTAGTCGCATCATTTAAATAGCCTAAACTAGCAACGTCTGCAGTTTTACATATCTAGAGTAGTTTCTTTAATGACAACAAAGTGTAACATATTTCCAACTCAGAATCACAAGCTGAAGCCTGACTTGAACTTTTTTTTTCACTTGGTTGCCAGTAATTGTGGTCTATATTTGTTGTGGCATAATTCAGTGGAGTGGACCAAGAATTTCTTACAGCATGCAACTCCCCCCCCAAAACCACAAATTGTCATTTTCACAGTACTATTTATACTCAACAAAATAGATATGTGTTAATCTGTGAGCAATAGAGGTGTTACTTGGAAAGTTTTTGAAATTTTAAGAAAGCTAGAGCACCATAAAAAACGTATTTTTTTGTATGAGTTTTTTTTTTTTACTTTAGTGACTGTCATTGTAACAGGAAAGCACAGATTGTTCCCGCTTAGGTGCATTTCCCTCCGATGACGGAGGGGCGGTTTGGCACAATGCACCATTGTGTACGATTGCTGCGCTGATCCTCGGCATGTACTGTTTGACATTCGTGGCATTCCCGCCAAGTTCTACCCAGTTTATCCTTATCATCGGGAGACAGACTGATGGAAGGAAGATAAGACCCTTACCAGCCTTTGAGCCAGGCACGGAGCCGCTATAAAGACAAATGCTCCCTACAATTCCGACATCCCTGTGGAGCCTATTAGGTCAGAGATTCTGTACAGTAAATGGATCTGGAGAACAAAATGGCAGCATATTGTCTTGTCTTGTGACTGATGAAAACATCCTGTTGGCACTGTTGTACAGTATATTGTATAATGGTGTTGCACAACTGTTTGGCTTCCAGTATATTTATAACCAGACAGATATCAGGAGCTGTGACTTAAACACACTTTGATTATCTGTCTTTGGCTAATCTTCATTACTGGCTTTTACACTTTTTTTTTTGGTGCATTAGGGGCAAGATGTTGACACAAGACTGACATGTTATTACAGTATAAAGTTGTTAAAGTGCAACATTAACATTCACTTGATGCCGTGTTTGTGGTCACCTGAATACTCCTCTCCTACGCTACTTGTAGCTCTGTTTTGGTCTCCACCAGTCCACCAAAGGAAATATCTGTTTCTTTAGCTGCTAGATGCTCCCCTTCACTAGCTAGTCGCTAACTAAATAGTTCCGCCATTTGGTGCAGGGCAAGTAGCATACAATGGGTTTATCAGAGCTCTGTCGTCTGGGAATTTCACTGGTTAGAGCTTCTTAGACTCAACCCAAAAATTCAAGTTGCGGGCCGTAAAAACCAAACCAAGGAGCTGCAAGATGCTAAATCGTGCTGTGGAGCTGAGGGAAACTGCAGAGTCTGCTCATAATTCTCTGTGGGCTCATAGTAAGCAAACACTTTCACATACACGTCATTACATCATTGATATGAAAAGATGGATAGTAGCAGCTTGAAGAATTTGAATACTTTGAGGCAAGCTACAGTTCCCTTTCTCTGACTCACACATACATCAACCAAAACTATGAAGTGCCCCTTTCAATATTAAATTGTCTTTTTTAAGAAATGTTAAATCAGTTGGTAGTATGAAATACTTCCAAAGTTTGTGAATGCATCAGTATTAACATCACAGCAGGCCGATTCACTCGCATTAAGACATTTCAGTCAAACTTTGAGTTGTACGATGTTTCCTTTTCCACAGTTTTGTTTGACTGGATTTTAAGAAAGACTTGTTAAGATGGATATCTCTTTCAGCACGTCTGTACCTATCTCAGTGTACTATTGGAAGTATTATGAGCAGGCACATGGATCCATTGCCTCCCCATATCCTAATCCATAACCCCGCTATCCCCCTATCAGTGCCTATTATCAGCCTTTACTGCACCTCTGATGACCCATTCAAAGGGTGCATTAGCATATCGCCCGCCTAGTGATGACTGGGAGGCCCGAGCGATTTGCATCGTAAAGCATAAATGTCCCGCTTTAGTGTAATCCACGACCCGCTGGGGAGCCCTGTTTCTGCGTAACGAGTCCCAGTGAAGAGACAGAAAAACAAAGTTAATGGGTGACGAGCTTCAGTTATGCTCCGCTGCTATAGGGCACCGGCTCCATTAACCGTAGCCAGGTGAAAGCCATCCCAACGGGCTGAATGTCTTCTGCTTCTGGCCTTTCTGTGGTAATGAGGTAGCACAAAGGTATAGTCTGTGCATGCATGCATGCACTGAGAGAAAACCATTTTCCTGAACAGTACAGCTTGTATTGGTAACATACGAGATGAAACAAGGGATAAGAAGTTGTCTTTTAAAGACTCATGGACTCATGGTTGTTGTGATTTTCTGACATTATATAGAACAATGAATCAATTAATCAAAAAAATAATTGACAGATTAATCTAATTAATAATTAGTTGCAGCCCGTCTTGCATTTAATCAAGCCGACCTGGATTTAAAGGGTTTTCTGATTGTAAAGTGGATTGCTCCGCTTGGATGCAGCACCACATATTTAGTTTTACACCGATAGAACAGGTGTATTCTAGGTCAATGTCTTGGCTCATGCTGCGTTCAACTTCCCACGCACTTCTCCCCCAAGCACAGTGTTCTCTCTTTCACTCCGGCGGTTTGTTGGAAACGGCACATCGCACAGATCGGCCGGCGCATTTATCAGGAACTTGTGTTTCGCGTGGACTGTTGAGTCTGGTTTTGGTTCCAGGGGCCTCAATAAACAGCTTCGTCCAGTATAAATAGCCGAGCCTTTGGTCCGATACCACCACGGCACTGAGTGCAGCAGTAGGGAGGAACAGCTGTAGTTGCTCTGTCGCCGAGGACCAGATCCCTCCTCAGTCGTCCCGCCAGCGCTGTCCGTGCTGTCTAACATAAGCAACACTGGAGGACTCCGAGCCTGCTCGAGGGCCTGGTTGTAATTCCACCCCTACACCCTGCAGCACTTATATACTTCCTGTGTGCGTGTATACCTGTGCATACACACATATTTGTATCGTGCATGTGTGATGTGCGGGCTCACCAAAGTGATCCAGCTAGAGCTCAGTGAAGCTGCTGTTCATACAGGCTGCGCTTATCAATATGTTTATGTTTACAGTGGATCAAAGGATTTTGTGTAATGTATATAGGAATCAAAATAAGAACATGTTGCCGTGAGACGACACTTGCTAGCGTGAAATGATGCAAAAACCAGGTGCCTGATGGGTCGCTTGGCCCTGCTCCCAGAGCAGTTTGTAAAGGAAGGATTAGACTGTGTTAATTAGATGGATGGATCCGAAAAGATGAGGTGCACCGAGGAGCATTTCCTCGCTCCTCTCGCTCCGACATGTTCCGCTGGATGATGGAGCCCTCGGCTGTAAACACGAGGCCCAGATGTAAACTTTAGTTTAGCATGTTAGCATGATAATTAGCACTAAAGAATTGCAGCTGAGGGTGATGGGAATCAGTTTACACACTCAAAGCCTTACAGATTGGTTCAAACCGTGCCAAACTCCACTCTGATGGTTTTCATCTCCCTCTCCGTCTTGTTGCAGGTCCTTCAAGGCCGACTTCGTGCTGGTTCGCCAGCACGCCTACAGCATGGTCCCCGGTGAGGATTTCAGGAACCTCGTGATCGGCCTGCACTTCGGCGGCGTCCCGGGCAGCAACTCTCTCTTCTCCATCTACAACTTCTGCAGCAAACCTTGGGTGGTAAGCAATCTGTAACTGCTCCCTTTGCTCTACTTTAACCCACACAAAGTAACAACCCCCCCCGACTGATTTATTTGGGCTGTTAAAGGGAGCTGTAACACCTGTCTCTGGAGTCGGCGGAGCGAGTGGCCTCCTCCTCCTGCACCACACATTATTACTCACAAAGACGTGTGAATGCTCGGCTCTGCCCGGGGTTCGTAATTGTAGTCTTGTCACCTCCAGAATAAGTTTAAAGGAGCAAGTATGCTCCCCCAGAGACGACTCATACTCCCATAATGTGGTGAATGAATGCACTTCTCCATGTTGGAGCTCACCTGCTACATATTTACAGCCCTGTAAATACTTACTCACCTGTTTGACAAAGCATACCAGATGTTTTTGGGTTGCCACAATTTTCTTTTTTCTATTGTATTCTATACTCCCAAACGTTAATAAATATATATACATACAGATCCATATTTACAATAGGCGGAGTAAACAATGGTAAGGCAGGTAAGAGGAAGTCTGTCCACCAGAGAAGAAAATTACAACAAAATGAAAAAACTCGATTTTTTTTTCCTTCTAAGGCAACAGGTGTTCAGAGTTGTGTCTCACTGCACTGGGTCACATATTTCATAAGCATCTGATATGCCATTATGAATGATGTGCTGTGTACACAGGTGTTATGTCTATCCAGCCTCTCCTTCCTCCGCTGCTTCAATAATAACGTCCGTCTGTCTCGTTGGTTTCTGCTTTGCAGTTTTCTCAGATGATAAAGCTCTACCAGTCTCTCGGTCCTGAGAAATTCCCCCTGAATGAACAAACCTTCTATCCCAATCACACGCAGATGGTGAGTGCCTCGCAGATATTGTTCTTTGTTTACACAACGCAGAGAAACACACACACACACACACACACACACAAAAGAAATCATAGCACTCCTTTGGCCCGTTTTTCATTAAATCTTTATTATAAAAATATAAAACACAGAAATTAAGTCAAACATTTCTATAACCCCTACAAGGACCCCCACCTCCCACCACGCACACACACTTCAGGAATCAGTGTTTACACACGGACTGTACACAGCTTCCTTGATTGGAATTTTCTTTTCTTTTGTAAGGATCAATCTTGACCAAGTGTTTCTGTGTTAAGCAGACGGTATATTTACACAAACATGAACCACAGAAATAGTGACACGGAAACGCCACAGCTGGAGAAAGAGCCTCAGCAACACGTATAAAGACAGAACGGACATGTTTTGTACAAAAAGAAATGTCTACAGGCATAGATTTGTTTGCTTTACACAATTATTAACTTCTTATAGCCTCTTAAAAACAACATGATGCCTAATCACGACTCTCTGTATGTCGCATACTCGAGAGGAGGTCGACAGGTTGAAGACTATTCAGACTTTAAAAGAAAAGAAAAACATTATGATGGATTGAAGGATGTTTTGTTGAAAGCAGAGAACTTGCGGTGCAAAAATTAAACTGCGTAGATTAACATCACTGAAATCAAATGAGTTTATTATAATTTATTAGGCTTTTTGTTGAGTATCGGAAACAAACCTTTGTTTGAATTCTGTTTTCTCATGAAGAAAACTAAGAGAAAGCGACACTTTTGTCATTTTGGAATGGAGATGAATGGATTAAAAAAAAAAAAAAAAAAACACATTTTGGGAAATAAGCTTATTGGCTTTTTTGCATATGCATGCACATTTCTCTATCCCTCTCATGTGTGTCTGTTAAATATGAAGCCACAGCCACGAGGTGGTTAGCTTAGCATTAAGACTAAGTTAAGCTAACCGACTCATCTAAGCAAGAAAGAATATAAGCATATTTCCCAAAAATGTCAAACTACTCTTTTTGAAAACAACCAACTTGGTCAAAGCCACAGTGATGTAAGATTCTCTGAGTGTTACTGATGTAGGGGCTGTAACAAATCTGTGTATGTTCATGGAATGGACTGAAGGTACAGCACTGAAGGGGGGGGGAAAGAGACTATTTAGTGACTATATATATATATATATATATATATATATATATAAAATTGTCACTAAAGTCCATTTGAAATAGTTACAAATACAAAAAGATTGAATATACACTTACAAAATATGTCACTGTCTGAAACCTCTGCTTCTACTTGACTTTCATTGGGTTGGTGCCAGTCAGGGGACTATGATCAGCTAACAAACTAAAGTATCTGATGTACTATACAGCTGGAGATGCTGGTCCTTCATTCTGCACGGTTGCACAGGCTGCGATGGTCACAATGTAGTTTTGACTGTTGCTATATATTTTTTGCAGATAATACCACATATTTACTGTGTACTCTAATAAACATATAAATAAATGCATTACAGAGGTTTCAGTTGAGTTGATAGTTCATTTCTGTAGCTTATGTTATATACAGCAAAAAATAAAATATCACCATCTGTGTAAGAAGTGAGCTCTTCCCTGCGTCGGCAACGTAACGCAGACATTGTTTTAGCATTTCTCTGATAACAGTGCTCAACAGAAAGGGCGTTGTTTGTGATATAACTGCAAAATGAGTTACATGGCAAACATTCAGGTAAGCAGAGAGTCTACCATCCATAAAGACGTTACAGTAAAAACTGTGAACATAATCAATGTATACTTTACTGTAAAACCATTTTCAAAAAAAATAAATTGAGGCCGAAATAAGAGGTATAATTTTCAGAGATCATACCTCACATTGGCACTCGATCTGTGTTGATGATGTGTAGAGTCTAATGCTAGCAAGTACAGTTCAGTAGCAACAATGTAACAGCTTTACATCTCAAATGTACATATCGACCATTGGCTGCTCTTTCATATAGCTTTCTCGATGCACAAAATTACCATAATACTGGGTTAGCAGTAGGCTAACTGCAGGTCGCTAATTAACACCAACGAGGCTTATTGATACTTAGAATTGTGTACAGGTCACTGATTTTCTTAGAGATTAGTTCTTCAAGGTCCTAAACTTCTTATTGGTTTTATAAATGTCTAACACCACTGAACCCTGAAGAGACCGTTTGGTGCAAGGACAAAAGGTATTGTTTTCTATCAGAAGTGCTACGAAGCAGGCACTGTAATGGATGTGGTCTTTTCTCTGTTTCATTTTGCCACTTTAAAGAGGCGGCCACCCAGGCAAGTGAGCTTAAAGAGTCCTGTAATTCTCTAGAAGTGATAGGGATGGGACGGAGTCAGGGAGGCGGGCAGTGGATTTTGGGCTAGGGTTCGTTGAAGTTCAGGGGTCGGTGGCATTGATGGTGGTTTTCTCGCGTGTAGCCATGCCCCGGTACCAGCTGCAGTAGCCCTCCTTCTGCTGGATGCAGGCGTAGTGCCGGGACTGGTAGCCGGGGTATCCGAAGTGGGACAGCATGTCCGTCCATAGGCACTCGTTCTTCGAGGTCACGAAGCAGGGCAGGTAGTGGCAGGGCTTAATCTACAGAGACAGAGGCAAAACTAAATATGGAGCAGGAAACAAAACTGGATACTAGCCACAACTACTGTAAACTCACTGTGTTTACTTTACTCAAATAGTCATACCTCCCTTCTTACTGTGATAATATATTCCCAATATATTTTTGAAACTTAACCCCACCCTTCCTTCACTCTTGTTTGTTTTCTTTTCTTGGCGTGTCCCTCTCTAATATGACCTCCTACCTTCATACTTTAAAAATGAAGATGGGTTAGAATAGTTTTCCACTTTGGGAAATATTTTTATATGATTTGTTAGTGAGAGTTGGATAAGAATATTGACTCTAGTGCCTGTACACTAAATATGAAGCTAGAGACAGCCGGCAATTAGCTTAGCTAGCATAAAGATTGGAAACATCAACGTTTTTCCAAAGCTTACAAAAACTCACATTTAGCATTTCTCAATCACTAAAAGTTTAATCTTGTTTAACGTGTTTAGAGTTGGTAGGCGTCTCTTTTTTAAAAGCTGGATAGAGCCAAGCTAGCTGTTTCTTTCCGCTTACAGGCTAACACTAAAGTAAGCTAACGGTCTCTTGGCTCTAGCTTAAAATGTATCGTACAGAGGTGAGCGGTATCAATGCAGTCACCTAAATCTTTCTTTCCTAAATTAGTATACTGTCAAAATGAATGACATTCCTTTAATGTTACCTAACAAGGTATCATTATTTATTTATTAACTTGTTGAAGCGAACAGTGATTGGTATCATGTAACTTTAACGACAGTCAGTCTACAGGCTAGAAGTCTGTGCAAAGGCCAAGTAGAATAAGCTTAATGGACCATTAACATATGAAAGAAATCTCACAGTTGTACAAGAGAAATGAGCTTTGAAGAAAGACAGTGATTGTATGATTTGGTTGAAATATAAAAGCGTGAACATGCACTTGGTGAAACATCCAGAACATGGAATCATTGCTCTATTGCTTTCAGCTTTTGCTTTCAGTCACTTCCTGCAGCAGATTATTAGATGAGGTGTAAAAAGGCATCTTTTTAAATGACAGCAATTGGTTAATAATAAGTGCAAACCCAGTAAGAGTACCCTGGCATTCGTATGCTTTGTGCTGTGTGAAATGAATGTCAGCCATCTTCCTGAAGCGGTGATGTTTTTGTAGTTTTCGTAATGATTCAATTCGATTTTACTCGGCGTCTCTCGTGCGTCACACCTCCAGGTGCTCGCACAAAAAGAAGCTTGACGGATGAATGTACACCGTGAATTGACAGGAAGAGTCGCATAACCACTCAGGGAGGTGATGAACGGAAACGCGGTGTTTAGCAACAGCGAAACGGAGTCATCAGCTGCACTTATCTGAATGAGCCAGCAAATTCAATTAGAAAGTTAGAGGACACACTTCTCATTTTAGGGTGTTTTTGTTAGTCAAGCCTGGAGAGTGTGTCCTCCACGGTTCACAGACGTTTCACGTGACTTCCGGGTTTGAGTGGTTTTAACGATGTGTGCAGAATTACTTTGTAACCGGTGCGACACGCTTCCTGCGTTCCAGCGCAGTACATCATCATCATGTCGAGGAATGCGGAGGCCGACGGAGCGCGTTTTTAATAAGTGTGATCATGTTTACGCCCTGGCTGTGCTTACCGACTCTCAGGCTGAGGTCTCAGTTGATCGATGGACTTCTCCGGATGCCTCTGGTCTGCTGCCATGTACGCTCCGAGCACAGTTTACAGGCGCCGGCCCGCACTGGGAACAAACGGGTCTCTCTGCTAATCCACTTATACTGATGGGGCCCCGATGGAGTTAGCAGATGTCCTGGACACTGCTGTACAGTAGGATGTTTATGAGGCAGGTCGACAGCTGCACAGCGACAGGCTGCATGTTGTGAGTCGCATACAAAAACGGGAATGAAGACTTGAGCTGGTTCCAGAGCTGTTACTTAACAACTCCCAGTGAAACTTGTTTTCTCTCCGTTTCGGCTTCTGCTTAACATCCATGATGAATTATAGTGGAAATTAGGCTCGTGATTCAGTCTCAACAACAACGATGACTGCACAACATCCTCCAAACCGTGAAGGTCGTTTCAAGTATGAGTAAATGGGTTTTGCATGACAAGTGGAACAGTAGCATTAATGAGCCTGAATTGGTTTGACCCTTCAAATACAAAGGGTACTTCTTTTAAAAGCATTTCCTTCCTCCTGTAATCATTAATAAGCACCCACGTGGCCTTTTATAGAAGTCACAGCGGTTTTATGTTTAGTTTTAGTAGTGAAATGGGGGGGCAGTGAGCTTTAGCCCCTCCTCCTCCCTCATCTTTCTGGTTTCCACTCACCCTGCAGTTGCAGCCCAGCTGGTAGCGATGGTTGATGCCCTTCTTCTGGGCCAATGAGAGGCGCTCCCACCGCTCGTTGAAGTTGCACAGCCCCGTGTAGACCTTGCCATCGTACACTCGACCTGTAGATGAAATCAGTGGAGGGAATGGGTCAACGCGTTGAGTCACGTGCCAATCAATCCAACGGTCGCTGAGATATTTCAGTTCGGACCCAACTGTTGCCGGTATCTCATTTTGCTATTTGTCTAATTTCATAATCCTGCTCATGTAACGCAGGATAATACAAACATACCGCTCAAGCAATCAAACTTGTTTATCTTTGGTAAAACAATCTCACATAGTAAGCCCCACACTAAACCAACACCCCTATTTCTGAATATCAAAAGGTCAGACATCTATTTTTAGTGCCGGACCGTTTGCGGCTTACCGATTCTTGAGACAGGTGCACCACGGCGACCTGCGACACCCTCAGGAACATCGTGAATTGTCACCATACATCTCCTTCACCGTGTTGTCACCACGCGGGAATTTGACAGCTCACAAATATGTGCTTCTTTCGACCCCTCTGCCTGTATCTGTATCCCCTGCACTGGGATTACTGGAGTCACTAGCAGGCTTATTACATAGTGTTGAGTGTGTGGCATGACTCAAATACTAATAACTACCAGAGCACTCGAGGCTCAATCAAAAGAGAGCCAAGCAGCTCCTCTCATAGGCCCTGATGCCTATTGCTGGTAATGCGGTCTTGATTGTATGCAGGGACTTATTATAGAACCTTGAGAGCAGCGAATGACATCGGTGATGTCACTCGCACCAGGACTCGGGTAAACAGAGCCACCGCTGCCTGGCAACGCCGGCTCGTTCGCTTGCAATGTGGGGTGCAGTTACAGTATTTACAGGTCGGGATGTAGCGACAGCTATATACGCCAAGCACCGCAGGCTCCAAAGTAAACTGCACCTCCGTTGGAAATAGCAACTCATAAAAAGCTTGTGCTGGAAAACGCCGGTCGCTTCCTGTTGGCTGTTGATGACAAGTTGTGAGAGAATTGTTTTCTGCTGTTCTGGCCTGCAACGTTGAGGGAAATTTGTTTTTTTTGTTTTGTTTTTAAAGGGCCCGTGCTTTGCCTGCTTGCACAGTGGCAAATGGAAAGGTATAAATAATGGGAAAGTGTGTCACAGGACAATTGAAGAAGTCCCTGGAGAGGAGTGGTGGACTATGTCAGACCAAACCAATCTGAAATACCAGATAAAACAAAGTTTTCTATATATTTATTTTCAAATATTCCAAACCCAAAGGCATCTCATTCGTAGCTGTTTCACCTTTCATAAATGCTGCAGAAGCGTACACGGACAGTGAAAAAGATTTGTGTCCTTACGTTTTGGCAACACATCTCAGGTACAATATTTAAAACGTACTTATTAAGCTTTGCACAGAGCTTTCGACCATATCCCATGGACTTCTTCTGTGAATGGGACTTGCTTGGGTGTCATCCTGTTATCACGTGAATGCAGTTCTCTACTTAGCTCACGTGATGACACCTTAAGGACATCAAGGATAAATGGTTGGAAAGCTCCTGGAAAAGCTAAGTAAGTGATCCTTGAGTTTAGAATATTTAACCACGGACAGTTTGGCCTTTTAAAAATAAGCTGTGGTTGACACACTCAAGCATAATTAAAGTTGGCACTGCAGATATTTTGTATTCCAGTTCCAAATAGTTTGGGGACTTGGGAAAGACAGATTTAAAAAAAAAAAAAAAAAAAAAAAAAAGAACGGTCAAAATCAAAGCAACAGATGCCGTTATATTCTGACTTTTGGACCAGAGGGTGGTTCAAGCTCGAAAAAGACAGAATCCTACACTTCCCATAATGCAACTTGATGGTTGGTTAAAAACCCCTCTTTGACCTTTCGACCCCTGTCGGCCATTGAGCTTACCTGTGATCAGGTACTGGTACTTGTTGATGTCAAACTTCACGCCGCACAAACTCTCCGAGGCGTCCGTGTAAATGTGCTGCACGTGCTGCACTTTGTCGAATCCTTTGTACATCTGCAACGACACGAGAAGCAGCGCTGGCGTTAAAAACCAGAATTAAACAACTCTTCACATACATTTTCAGGAATGAAAACAGTACGCTGGCTTTATCAGATCACGTTCCTTGAGGAATGCCTCTCGGGAGAAGGAGTGTTGGGCTCTGCCCTTAACTAAATCACAGATAACATGACTGTGTTGTGTAATGTTCTTCCACTTTGATGCTGTTTGGGCAAGGGCATTGCCAAACCGTGGACATCAGCTCCTTCCATTTATCCCGGGTATGCAGAGCCAACAGTCAGTGTTTGCCCTGAGAACTGTTGTGGTTTTTTTAATCAGTGTAATTTATTTGTCTGGGAACAACAGGAAATCCCTGTTTACACGCGTCGCCCCCAGAAAAACAGAGCAAACAGTTACTAAAGCCTGAAACTGTGGAGGCTTTAGGAAAGCTGAAGGCATTTGTCTCACAGGATTTGTTGAAATTTGGAGGGAATCGCATGCTATGATAGCCCACAAGGAAAACCACTGTTTGCAGTACAAACCAGCAGACTGTAATACAAATAAATAAACCAAGAGGTGCAAAGGTTGCCTCTAATTCCTGGGGATAATCCTAACAGTGATGATTGGTGTGCTTCGCTAACAAGAGGCCACTTAATGCTTTTGTACAAACTGGGATTGTACTGACGCAGTGCACGACTCTGTTGAAATGTTTACACTAGGAGCGAGGAGTTTGGTTGAGTTGTAATGCCCGTAAGCCCGCTAATCCTCCGGCCTGGCTCCTGTCTGAGCAGCAGGCCGATGTCAGCATCTGTCGGAAATATGCAGCGTTATGTAAGAATATAGAGGAAGTGAAGAGCAGGCTTTCATGCCAAGTATCCCAAACTGCTTTTCAGCTGTCACAAGGCGGCTGAGTGGGTGGAGAGGCAGTCAGTGTATTTCATTTTAAGGGTATTCTTAAATGAAAGAAACAAGTTTGTTTTTGTGTTAAAAACACTTTCCATGCAACGACCTCGTGCTTCCAATCAGAATCCAGGGTTATATAAAGCAGAGAATTTGTCACGTGGGGTCATTGAGCATGACATCGCAAACTCTTTCTGAAGCTTTTGCAATATGTTCCCTTAAGAAAAGAAAAAAAAAAAATATTCCAGCATGTCCAATCTGAGCATTCTGCTATATAGACAACAAGCATGTTCACTCCGCTAGTAAAAAAGACAGAAATGTACGGACTTCAAGTTGTTTTCATGACTAAAAGGTGTAAACTTCTGAGCTTTAGAGGTGTTAGTTGATGTTGACACGCTCACCTTCATTTGCTTGACTGTGTAGCGCATCGTTCCAAAAGGTCCATCTCTCAGAAGCTTCTTGCCCACAACTTTAGCGCGAATCACTGTGAAGAGAGGAGACGGACGTCAGACATCACTTTGAAATGGTTTGGACAAACTGTCACATTCCTCCAACATGGAACCATCCAATCCATCAAATAGCACTCTGCCTCGGCCAGTAGGAGGCATTAGCAAACCCATTATAAAGACCATTTCAGGACCGTTTGGCACCACAGTTAATCCGTTTATCCGATTTTCTGCATTGCTGCTGTTTGCCAAGGAAGACCAATGGGAAACAAACCGCTACAGAGACTTTTGAGTTTGACACAGAAATTAGAGGGAAAGAGGCCTCATCCATGTAGCAGGGCTTCATTCTCACTGCTGGTGTGTGGGATAAGTGCTCATACTGCTAAAGGTGGAACTTGTAGCAACCACAGGACACTTTTTGAACCTTGGTTTTGATTTTGTAGCTGTAGTTATTCAGATCAGAATTGGCAAAATGACTCCAATCACATTAAAAACACCAGGGTCACATGAGGGGGGGGGGCACTGTGTGTCTCCTGTTTCCTTCTATATTGGGATCAGGGCTGGAAAAAGATATTATCGGTGTGCCGGACCCTCATGTAAACGTCTGCGAGGTGAAAACGCTCAGTTGTGACTATGATTTGTTGTCTTTCCCTCGTGCTGGAGTAAAGGGGCTTATTGTGGAAGGCCAGGGAGCTGGGAGTGTAGAAATGAGGGATAATTTGAGCCGGTGAATACGAGTCTAACCAGAGCTGCGGGCCCTGCATATAGGCAGTCTCTCCTCTGTGAAGTTCACCTGCTGCCCACAGCCGACCGGCCGCAGACACAACTAACACTGGCCATGTTTGTTATCTTCTCCCGGTGGAATTTCCTTAACACATTCTTCAGGGGCTCACATTCCCCAGAAAGGAAAAAACAAAAAAAGCGGAGCCTTTCGTTCTTTTCCTGAAGAAAGAAATGAGGCGTGTGGCATGTTCTGTTTGTCTAGCTGTCCTACTTCCAGGCAAGTGGGAATGGGTATAAAAATAAAACTCAAACAGGAAGCAGTTACAGCACGGCCACCCAAAATTGGTGACCACACATTTATTTTGGACATGAAGACCCCAGTTTGAACTAAGTGTTTATTTAAACAACCTCAGAAAAACGTATTTCAAGCCAGTACGAACTAATCTAAAGAATGTGGCCACCCTGCAGTTTAGGAGATAGAAATATAATGTACTATTTGGTTCATTTATTTTGGTGTATTTGAGGAATCTTTCTGATCATGATCAGGATAGTTCTTTTCAAGTTGTCGTTGACAAAAGGACTCTGTGAGGCAGTACTGGGGTGCTTTGAGCTAAATGCTAACGTGAGCGTGCAATGACAATGCTAGCATGTTGATATTCAGCAGGTAATGTTTACCATGGTCTCCATCTTAGTTTAGGTGTTAGCATACAAACATTAGCTAACAAGCACTAAACAAAGTTCGCCACAGTATTGGACTAGGAGAAATTTAGACTTGAAGATGCCAATAGTTGGCTAGAAGTCAGGAGATCACCAAAGCAATTATAATGTATCCTCTGAAGACCACGAATGTCTCCATGAAAGTTTCATGGCAATCCTTCGAATGATTCTTAATATATTTAGCTGAAAACCGCAAATGTCAACTCACGGTGGCGCTGGACAAAAAGTCCGGGGATCACCGAAGCCATCGGGATTCATCCTCTGGGGATCATGAATATCTGCAATAAATTTCATGACAATCTACCTATTTGTGTGGACCAAAGTGGTGGACGGATCAACTGACACGGCTAGTGTTACTAATTATCATATTGTTGTAGTTAGGGTTAACTTCACCTGTTAGCGCGTCAGCCACGCGAGGCAGTAAAGGCACCACAAGTTAGCGCAACGTCGATTCTACAAAGTACCCACGAGTAAATGGCTCTTTAGAATATCCACCATGCATGAAACACGCTGCAATACAAAACGGAAAAATCTTTCAAACGGGCATGTGAGGCAACACACGGGGCAGATCACAGAGGAGATTGTTTTTCAACTGTCGACATTGTGTTTTAACCGACTGACTTCCACCGACAGCTTCACGATAAATCACACAACCAAGGCAAGCATTTCAGAGCCCCCTGCTTGCCCTTTCACAGGAACCTGCTGCAGAATATTTTGATCCGTTAATCTGTCAACTCTTCTAATATGAGCCTGAGAGCGCCACTGCCTGACGGACCTCTGCTAAACGTACCCAAATGCAGTTTGACAGACATTTGCCGCTGCAATTACAGAGGAAGCGGGGCACAATTACGGAGGAATGTGCAGATATAACGGGATACTTTTGCCTCTGTTAAACACACTGCTGCCGTTATTTGAGTCTCACCAACCCCCGAAACCTAGTTTCCTCCTCTGCCCTGACCTCAAGAGCAACCCTCAGGAGAAACAAGTGTTTGAACGGCCACAGGTCAGCTGCTTTCACATCCAGATAGGTCCCCTCTTGTTGGATGGCAGCCACTAATTGGCCAGTGATGGTGCCATCACCCAGAGGAATGTGTGAAGGGCCTCAGCTGCTGCAGAGACGGGACTGGTGTCATTCCTCTGCAGTGACCCCCTCCCTCACCGCCTCACAGTTCAGCAGTTATATTTACGTACAGCCACTACGTTACAAGTGTTTATATAACCCACAACACCCTGCTTCAACTGGTTACTATAGACGTACTGTGTAGAAATCAGTTTCTACCTTCTAAACTCTTTTTACATACAACTTTAACTTCCCGTACTTGTGTCTGTGTATATATATATATATATATATATATATAAATATATATATATAAAATCTTTCTACTCTTATTGAACCAATACTAAAACCACAGGTGATGCATATTCAAGCAGAAACATTGATTAGTTGTGTACTGCTGTTACTGTTTGATGCTTCACAAGTATTATGACTACTGCTAATGGTTAATAAGGTGATTTCGGCAGGATATAAAGACAACTGAAGCACTTATATTTGCAGCCTTATTTGGCTGAACTTTCCAGACACCATGAATCTTAAAGTTTCATTTAAATTTGAATACTATTTGTGCAGTAAATATATAATAAATGCACGTTAATAAATCTTTAATATATGATCTAGTCGAGTTGAAATATCCATCAGCCTCTCTATACTGTCATGTAAAGAGGCTCTCTCCCTCTTGCTTGCTAAACATGAGGAATTACAGGCCAGGGCCGTGACGCACAAGTATTCATCTTCTGCAGAGGATCTGACATACATTTTGAAGTGTGGGAGGCTTTTCGTGATAAGAGAGGTAACCAGGGTCTGACAGGAAACAAAGTGAATCCATTTCTCCCCCAGTATCTCTTGCCGAAAGCAGGGGATTACACAAGCGTGAAATGCCAATGTGAAATCTTAAGGTGTGCATGTAATTCAGTTAAACATTTATTTCAGCCTACGTACAATGTGGCAAACTGCAGGCATGACAAGAATAGGGTTGCTCATTCGCGTGCGTGCGTGCGTGTGTGAGAGGGAGAGAAAGGCAGCGGGGCGGTGACTGTGATTTTAGTATGCACAAAGTGGTCCAAGTTCGGGGAGGCGTGTGGGAGGAAGAGGAATTCTCAAGACGACACACCACCACGCTCGAAAAATAAACAGTGAAACTGAAGCCGCTGTAACGCTGGAGCATCGCGCCCCTAACGTCCTCTTACCGGTCCGCAAAATGCAAAGGCATGAGCTTTTCTCACTGCGTCTGATGCCCGATGATTACCAGGTTTCAACGAGGCGACAAAGGGCTCCCGTTGGATTGAGCCATGGGAATCTCTAAAGCATGTAGTCATTGGTATCCAAATGTGATGCCAGCTGACCTCAAAAACAACAAAGCCCTGTCTCCAAATTAGATTGTAAAAGAGAGTCACGGCCGACACCAGCCTGGACAGTTAGTCCGACGTTATCTGGGCGCGCTTGCTAACACGTTTCCTGCTTTTCATATCTCTCTCTCTTTTTCTTCACATTCGCTCACCTCTTCTGTCTCTTTCTCGCCGGCTGCCTTTAGACTAGCTGTTCAGATGATTACCGAACCGTAAAGTCCTGTTTGTAGTTCGATCAGCTGCTGCCGTTTGTAAAAGTCTGTCGTCATAAAGGTGACATTCTGGAGATAAATATAATTTATTACAATTGTTGCAAGGTCGATAAGGGTAACATTACTCAATGCTCCCTTTACAGCCAGCATAACTGAAGGTGAATAAATCATTGGCGTGTGGTGCAATAGTGGTTGTGTCAAGAGTGTGTGCTGGGCTGATGTCCACCCCCCTCCCCCTGTGTGGTCCTCAGAGAAAAGGGCGGGACGGACTGGACATTTGATACGCCTGGCTCATGGGACGAACATCGCAGGCTGGAACGGAATCCAGAACCTTTTGACATTGCGTCGTATTTTAGCTCACTTTTTGGGAAAGCTACAGATCCAAGCTCACATAACGCCTGTCACAACAGGAGTCCTGGCTTCACTCAGGTTATCCTCTGACACCTGTTGACCTGCAGTTGAGGAGGGAGTCGTGATTTAACTAAACGCCTCTCACGAGTGGAAGGAGGTGGAGGGCGTACTGGTACTGGGAGAGCGCCGTCGCAAAGCCCCAGGCCAGGTCGCTCTTAACCCGCTACGCAGCACAAAGCTGCTCTGTGCTGCACAGAAATACCCACGGCAGGGCGGGATCCGGGTCTCTTGATGTCCTGATCCTCCATCCCAAACCCAGCATACACGCATATCGCGCTAATCCCCGGCAACTGACCTGGTTCGCCGCGCAAGCACGTAAAGGTTTGCCCTGTCACCCCGAGCACTCGGGAACTAGCGCCCTTTACAGAGCGATATTAAATCTCCGGGGTCAGAGTTTACTGCCGGGCCTCTAATCTTGCTTTTCGGAGGGCTTTGGAAAAACAAGCCCTGCTTATTTCTGCTTGTGAATGGGCTGCTTCAACGCAGCAGCCTAATAGCAGCAAACAAGTCCTCCAGCTCACTGCCCGGTGCCCAGGTATGTTAGCGGCAAGACTGACGGGATATCTCTCACTTAATCAGAACGGAGATAAGCTGGCCAATTGCACTGTGGGGCATTTTTATACTGGAGTGAGATTAGCAAGGACTGAAACGGTAGTTAACAAAATTCACTCAAATGCATTCCAATGTCTCTTTAACATTCTACCATCAGAATGAAGGGAAAGCAAGACAGACCCCCCCCCCCCCTTAAATATTTCTATTTAAACGTGTCAAATGAAGAGAGACAGACTCCAATAACCCAATTGCCAACCCTTTAACCTAATTGTGATTCATCCAGTGGAGTGCGTGCAGGTGATTATGGGTCAGGGCCAAGAAAACAAGAGCTTTGAACTAAACTACAGGTCTTAAATTAGGAAGATTCAGGCCTGTCGCCTTTCCAACCCCGTACTTCTCTCTCTGTGTTTGAACCGGGCTTCGTGACACAAGCGGAAGCGGAGGTTTTAGCTTAAGGTGATAGAGATAGGATAGACGTTACATTAAAGAATGAACCAGGATTGGAGGAACACATTGTGTTATTTTACAGCGTATTCTGTACACATTCACATGATACCTCTGAACTGATGCTTTGACTTGCATTAACATTGGACCGGACATGTTACCTTTATTTTTAGCCATACGTGGAAAAAAAAGACAATAAAAGCAGAAGTTGGATCATTCAGGCTTCCTTCACACATCTTGAAAATCTGGATTTTGTTTATTCCAATTAAGGAAGTCCAAGAAAGTCAATTTTAACCCAGATTAGTGAAAGTTGCTGGCTGTGACCTTTGCATCCAACCAGTGTTGGTTGGAGAGGCAAGATGGTCCGCGTACATTCAAAGCACACCTCGAGCAAAGCAGAGACCTTGGAAATGGGATTTGTGGGGCTCACGACTGATCACTGCGCCCATTGAAGTCAGTCCCAGATTTTCAGTGGGTGCCAACACCACGAGCTATATCTGAAAGACTGTGAAATGCTTCGCATGAGTGAAGATGCTCCCACAGGCCTTGTGGTCAGGGTTTACCTAAGAGCAAGAGACATGAAGAGACCCTTTTGGGTCCTGGAGTTGCAATATCTGCCACATTTCACCAGATTCCTCTCATAAAAGAGGGGTTCTGAGAGGTCTAGTAGGCTTAATCTGAAACTCCTCCCCTTTAAGCCCCTTCAGAGGATTCACCAAAGCGTCGTAGCGAGTCCACGTCACCTGCACCTACATAAAACACACTGGTTGGGTCCTTCGAAGTTGGGCAAAGAAGCCTTTTCTTGGCTGCGTCTGGAGGAGCCTTTGGAAGAGGAAAGCCTTGTAGTGCGGTGATGATGTACTGTGTTTAGTTAATAGGACACTACAATTTGAGGTCATAATTGAAGGAGTAGTTCAATGGTTTTTGGAAAAATGCATATTTGTTCTTTGCCAAGAGTTATATGAGAAGATTGATACCACGCCTATATGTTGACTTTGAAGGAACAGCCTGCAGCCAATTAGCTTAGCTGAGCTCAAGACTGGAAACAATAGCAAACGGCTAGTCCGACTCTGTCTAAAGGTGACAAAATCTGCCTACGCGCACCCCCAAAGCTTACTAAATAGCCGGTTAGCTTAGCATAAGGATGGAACCATTTAGCCTGCCACCGTCCAAAGGTGACAAAATGTACCTACGAGCACCCCCCAAAGCTTATTAAGTAACATGTTGCATCTTAGTTGTTTAATTTGTTCTAAAGCCAAAGTGTCAAAGCTAGATTATTTTCACCTAGCTTAGCATGAATATCATAGTTACCTTACAGAATATTATACATTTTGGATTCATCTTGCGAATAAGCAAATTAGTGTTTCCCAAAATATCAAACTATTTATTTTGAGGATACAATGGTACCTGTAAGGATAAGGAATGAGCTTCGGGCATACGTTTAGGAAACATATAATCTTAATGTGATTTTGTAGGTGTATTTAACATGAGAAAGGGATTTTTCCTTTCCCTGTGAGCGTCAATAAGGACTGTGTAATCCATCACTCTCATCTCTACTGGTGACCACTAGTAAATGTAACATCGTTAAAAGTGACGTCAGAGTGTGAGAGTGTGTATAGGGGTTGCTGCAGAAACTAGGACTTCCCTTGTTAGTCGACACAAGACTAACACATGGGCTACACACATGGCTGCAGTGTGTGTGTGCTCAGTTTAGACTGAGAGATTATTGTTTGACAGTGTGTCAGGGTTTTAGAGAGCCTCATGACGGTTTCACGCTTTTAGGTCAAGTGATGAAGCACAACATCAGCCTCACTCAAAAAGACTGTCAGCTTCTGCCTAATATCAAGGAATGTGTGTGGCTTTAAGTGACGGGGTCGTCGGTCAAAGAAACTCGTGTCTGCTTCCCCTCTAGAAATCAGACGCCCTCCTGTCCCATCTGAGACATTTCATCCCCAAAACTTACCAGTGTTATCTAACGACACAGGCCAGTTTGGACTGGTGCTCCAGGCTGAGCCAGATCCCAAGTTCATATTATTCCGGGGAGTCAGAGAAAGCATAACCAGGCAGTAAAACAAGCTATGTAAACCCCCCCCCCCCCCCCCCTCGTCCACCGTTTGTGTACCAGAGGCCGAGCATATCTGAGTTACAGCCGAGTGGCTGCCCGACAGAGAAATACCAGAGTGTGCAGATAAATAAGCATGATTTAAAACTGTGGATCCTTTCATCAACTGCTGTTAATGCACACCACTCATACTTATTACCCTTTGAGCCACACAAACATGCCTTTATAGCTTGGAAACAAAATACAATAAAATGCAAATTTCATCAATTTGGGGATGGAAAGCATGGCAACGTTAGGGAACCCTTGACTTAGTGTAACAGCGTCACTTCAAGAAGCATCACTGGCGTACGCCACTGACCACAAACCTTGTTATATTATATTACAATTAAATAATAATAAAAATACAATAGTAATCTGAAAATGGCAGAAGTAGTAGTTGTGGTGTAAACATTTGGTTGAAAGTAAAAAAAAAAAAAAAAATTTAAAAAAAAGTAGTTAATGACAGATCTTAGTCACAATTTATTTTATTTACTAAAGTTCCTCTATAATCAAAAGGGGGGGGGGGGTCTAGCCTGAACGACGTGCATCCAGTAAACTGATCGCAGGTCAGTCCTCTCTCCTGCTGACAGGCAGCACTTTTATCTAAACATCTGCTGTCAGTACAGGGGTTAGAATAATAAAAGAGGCTCGTTAACAGCTGTAAAATGGTCGATGTGACCCGTCACCTACCTATGTCGGAGTTGCAGAAGGCGTCCTGCGGGTGCGACAGAGCGCACGAGCAGCCCTCCGTCAGCTGGTTAACCTGCAGGCTGCCGAAGACAAACAGCAGGCTGATCAGGTGCTGGTACACCGACTGCATTTTTTCTCTCCAAACTTTTCCACTCGATTAAAGCGTACGGGGTCCGGCTGGGCTGCGTGTAATGTCCAAGTCTCTGCTCTGGTCGTCGGCTGCGTTCTCTGCTCGCTCGTGCGTTTGCTCCCCTGGTCCCGGAGAGGCGCACCAGCCGTACATATAGCGCGCCCGGAGAGCTCGCGTTCACGCCCCCTCTCCACCTCTGCAGCTCGCGGGCGGGAGCGGCCAATCAGCGGCTGGTGATGCCATTAGGAGTTACAGACACCAGACACGATGACATACTGGAACTTTACTCTTATTTTCCCAGACTGACACCGAAAAAAAGAAATAGGTGCACAGAAAAATGAAATAGGATTGGCGAGCGGATGTTTATGCATATTTGGAGTTCACCATGCTTTTTCTTGTTGTACGGAAAATGGTTATTAGAATGGTTTGAAGTACAGGAAACTTAAATGATGTATGGAAACAATAATAATGCATATATTTGTCCTCATGCTGCAGTGTAAATAACTAGATTTTTGTTTTTATTATTTCATATAAATGATGTAAACTTAACTTACATTTACATTCAATATGATAATAAACTGATATTATAAATGAAGAAATAGGTCACACATACAGTTTCTCATGATAGGATAGAAATGTGTGTAAAGTTGTCCTTTATCTCCAATAGATATACCAATCACATCTGTACAAAACAAACAAAGTAATACAAAATATTGCCTGTTTTATGTTTTTTTTTCCTTAACAACATTTTCCTTCTTCTCACTTTTCACCAGAGTCTCACTTAGTCATCCCGCCCACCCCCTGACGCCTCCTTAATTAGTAATACTTAAAGTATATTGAATGCAGTGTGCAGCCAGCCTGCTGCAATCAGGGGCAACAGATGAAGGTTTATCTCTGAACGGTTAGAAACAAGAGCGGTGAAAGCAAACGAAGGCTCCAGTTTAGTTTTTACATGTTTTGGTGTCATTATTGGGATTAAGCAGCTTTTATTTATTTATTTTTAGTTAATCTTCAAAGACATTCAGCCTAAAGTAAAGGCATTTGTGCGAGCGATATGTGGCTCGCTTAGTCAGATTTTATTCTGAAGATGGATTCACTCCAGTTACTTTCAGGGCACGATCAGTGAAATTAGCCAATTAAAGCCTCTTTTCTCTTCTTCCCAGCTGTTTCCCCAGACCTGAGTGGAGCTCCGTTATCGCTGCAGAGGCTTATCTGCAGAGGCTGAGGGAGCTATTAAGGGTTGACGCTACTCACGGTTACATAACCAAGCTAGAAGTAATCAGGTCGGGGAACTCTGACCCTTAATGTGCCTTCATTAACAGTTATCTCAGTTTAAAGAACCTGCGTGGCCAGATATAGCCATTACTTTCTATTTCACATGGCAGTGATTCGATTGTGCTTTAAATGACCGTTTTAAAAGTGAGTTTGAATTAAAAATAAACGTTTTCTCATAATTTCATATCATCAAAAAATAACTCATTTATTTGCTACTTAATTCGTCTTTTACAAATAGACAATTTAGCTTGAGCTTATGATGAAAAAACAGGATGTATTGTTTTAGACTAGAATGATATGCAGGAAGTGTCATGAATTGTTTCACAGTTTCCATTCACCCTTCACCCGTGACTCAGACTCACATCAAGAATTCATCATCATCCACTATGTTTTGTTTCTTTCACGATATACACTTTCACTATTACCCAGAAAATAAGCCAGTGTTTGTTCAGCGGTGCGTTCAGGTACGTTACATCGACACATTTCTGCAGTCAGGAACCAACGGGAGGATATTTACCATCTGTGGAAATTCAACATCACCATCGTGGAAGTTGTGTTTTGTCAGAGGTACGGCCTCATCTTCAGGACCGGGAGCAGGTCAGCAGGTCAGCCTGCCGTTAACCATTGATGATGTCCGGCCAGATATTATTTCAGCCTCCAACCTGAAGTCTGAACTAACAGATTTGTGACATTCCTTAGTCAGACGCTGGGCCGGCATGCGTGACAGGTGGATTTGCATTTTGTTATGCCCAAAAGAGGCGATGAAAGCAGAACAGTTCAGACTCTCAGGAAGTCTCAGGGAAGCTGGGGAGAGAGGGGATTCTCTCGGGACATTGTTTCATAGGACTTCACTTATACATAAAGAGGTAAAACAGCCCTGCATTCCTAACATTTATCCCAAAGATTACAAGTTGAACCAGCCAAAAGAAGGAAACAGACCTAATATGGCATTACGTAATTGCGTCAATAGATTTAATAGGACGTCCACCCTTCAACACTCATTATTAACACACAGTATTCAGTTACTAACCCTAGTATTACTCTGTTCATTTGATCATTTGGGGGCTAGCTTGTTTGCTGTTTGACCAGGAGGTTAATGGAGGGTGTTTTCAGTTTGGCCCCTGTGTGTTCAGGTGATAGACGGGTCCGGCTGCTACGTGTTACCCTGGGCTGGAGGTGATGGGGGGTGGGGGGGGGGGGGCCTCCTCTACCAAAAGAGGACACAGGAGACTCCCGGTTGCAAAGTTGTCTTATGTACACGTTGTGTTGTTTTAGCTGGCTTGCTAACATTAGCCAGGAGGAAGCCTCGAATCACCAGTCTTCGTTCAGAGTTGGAGGCCGTGTGAACTCTGCATCTCCACTGTGAGGATGGGACATTTTCTGCAGCGTTGCTTGCAATCAAGTGATTACGTAACTTTTGATAGTCTGTACCAACCAAGACTGAAATATCCCTATCTAAACACAACCCATGTGTGATACAGAAGGTGTGACGTGAATGGCGTCCGTCCGGAGCAGCCTTTCTTCACAGATGTTCGGCTATCACACAGGGAAAAATCCATCATGACATGGACTAAGTCCCAAAGGCAGAAAATAGGCCACAAACCATTAGAGCCACATACGTAAGTTATGTTTTTGTTGTGTGATTGATTGCTTTTGGAGTCATCTGGGGACTCGCCTGTGGTAAAGAGGCATAAAGGCCCTCTCTTGAAAATAGAAGTTTCCGAGGCAGGTTGACGGAAAGTGGCTTCAAAATAAAGGCAAACTAAAGCGTGACACTTCATCACAAAATATATCTTGGAAATATATATTATGTGCACAAGTGTATGAAGGAGAATTGTCCTTTTAGAGAGAGCTGCTCACCACATGTGTGTGTGTGTGTGTGTGTGTGTGTGGGATCAATGTGTCTTGCAGCTGTCCTCACATGATAGGTCGCACCACAGTGAAATAGAGGAGGCCTTCCCCTAAGTCTCAGCCCGACAACAAGGTCACTGTGTTTTGAAACGCTGTGGCCTCGCCAACAAAATCGTGTGCCACTAATTAGCAAAAGTGCGTGCTCTAGTTTAACTTTACTGACAGAAATGGGACAAGATAAAACGGATGGGTCGTCTCCAGAACATTCTGGTTATGTGTGTCTCTCACAGCTTGTAACTATGACTTGATCCACGGAACAGGACCCTCCGGAAATGGTGTCGCCGAACTAGGCCAACATACCGTAAAGCGTAATGCGGAGCAAAGTGCAATTATAGAAGAAGAAGAAAAAAAGGCATCTTTTGAGGCAGGCCGTCCGCCGGGGGGGGGGGAAGCAGACAACATCATTGTGTACCGGTGGTCTAGAAGGCGTGCGCGGTTTGGGTGGACAAAAGGGAACAGACCGGGTGACTCAGAGGAAATACCTTTCATCCGACTGACGAGCGGCTGAAGAGACACAGGAAGAGGCGAAACTTGAAGAGATGGCCCCGCCGGGAGCGGCGGTCACCGAGGGACAGCGTCCAGCCCTGACTCACTCGACCCTGTTGCTCAGCCCACATGCCGTTCCAGTTAACTGGGACGGACGGGACGAGCCCCGGCTCTGCAGCTCTGTGCTTCAAAGGAGGAAGGCCGGCGAGTGGAAGTCGCATCACAGCAGGAAGAAGACCGTAATTGGACGTTCCCCTCGTCGCGAAGAGCGTTGACCTCGGGTCGCGAGGAGGAATCAGGATGTTGCGGTTTGGCGATGGAATTTTCTACAACTTCTTGGGTGGCTGATTTGTTGGAGAGGAAACACCTGTAGTCCACTGAATAGAATACAGACTGCTGCTATTAATATCTCACAAGGTGCTTTTCAACGTGCTCATGGGTGGGATGGTGATGTGACATAATATTACCATGTAGCAGTTGGCTTGGAGCGACATGACACTAGATACCCCTTAGCAGTCCTTGTTGCTTTCATCTGAACAATGGGGCCCGATTTGTTGGAAGTGAGCTCAAAGCGCAGTATCTGAGAGCTGTCAGTGCGGTGAGATATCGGTTGTTTGACGGGCGCTTCTTGACTCCCATAGGAAGCGATATCAAGGCCCGGTGGCGCTTTTTTTATTTATATATAAGCCGCTCAGTCCGTCCACTCCACTGAACATTTCAACAGATGCTCACCGGTTTCCAACCCCCGACGCCGTCTGTCATCTGAAGTGGAGTTAAGACATCAGAGAAGGAAACACAAACATGGCCCTGACCCATGATCGCGCTCACAATGGGACTCCCCCCTCTGCAATAAAATATGATGAACGGTCAGCAACTTCCTACTCAGCCGGGCCAAATGCAACCACAGCGCTCACTGCTCAGACGCAGGGTCCCCTGTTGTACTCTACTGTACATATTTGGTGTGTGCGCGGTCAGGAAACCCCACAAAATGACTATGTTGTATTACAGCATGAGACACCAAGCCTAACTATAAACACGACGGCATGGAAATAGCTTTGAGGAATTCCTTAAGCTTGAGGGAATGCCTAAACTGGGTCTGATGTAGAGCGCAGTAAAAAGAAAAACGGTTAAAAGCTTCAGTCTTATACTGCTGGTATCCTGCAAATTGAGTCATCATAGCAAGTGAAGATATAAATTATCTTTTTTTTTGTTTTATTACACCCAATCTTTGGGCTGACATTATAAACCAAAAGTGACAATGTGGAAATGTTTTGCGCTTTTCACTCAAAAATAAATGTTGCCAGGTGCATTGGAGCCAAAGTGAACAGTCCAGTTATAAATCCAGTACTACCCAAGAACACACAGATCAAAAGGAAGCAATTTATTTCATGTCTTGACCATGACATTTGCATAATGTATTTTATGTCTTATTTTGCTAACGTTACATATTTACACAGCTAA